GCTCCCCCTCCCCCCCCCCCCCCCCCCCCCCCCCTCTCTCTCTCTCTCTCTCTCTCTCTCTCTCTCTCTCTGTGTGTCTGTCTCTGTGGCAAGCACAGCACCTATGCACACAGGGACACGCAGACACGCGCATACGGACGCACACGCACACGCACACACACACAAAACAGACGCGCACACGCACACGCACACACACACAAAACAGACGCGCACACGCACACGCACACGCACGCACAGCAGACGCGCACAGACTAGACTGGTATTGTTAAGGAGAGTGGGGTGGCAGAAGGGAGATTGTAGGTCCATCTGGCCCGTTGGTCGTGTGGTACCGGGCCGAAATCTGGGCCGTCTATAGCGACTATAGCGTTCCAATTCTGCACCTGTTAAAATTGTCACGCTATTGCTATAGCTATCGACGGCCACGAATCTCAACAATTTAAGTTCGCGCGGTCTTAAATAGTTAAGATTGCCGCGCGAACTTAAATTGTTAAGATTGCCGCGCGAACTTAAATTATTAAGATTTTCTTTTCCTTTTAAGAAATATTATTATTATATTATTATTAAGATCCGTGGCCGTCGCTTGGCCATTAGGAGGAGATTTGTTATCGATTCGAGATTTGTTACATTCTCTTGCAACCATCTGGCCGTCGCCGGTCTATAGCGGACGGCGCAGATTCGATATTTCTTACATCCGCGCCGCGTCTTCTTGTGGTTTTCTTTCTTTCTTTTCTATCTTTTCTTTCTTTTCTTTAAAAAAAAAAGACAACGCTTGAACCATTTCTCCATATGTATATGTATGCGTGTCATTCCTAATTGCGGAGGGCCCATGCTAATCTTCTCTCTCTCTCTCTCTCTCTCTCTCTCTCTCTCTCTCTCTCTCTCTCTCTGTGTGTGTGTGTGTGTGTGTGTGTGTGTGTGTGTGTGTGTATCGTTCCAATTTTAACGGATGTCCGGCAGGACACATCAGCGCTTTTTCTAGAGTGGGGATTAATTATAATTATGGTCGTTATCCTGTCGCCCCATAAGGCCCAACGAACAGAAGATACTCAATTCTAATTCCGAAACTCCCCCCTCCCCGCCGCCGTCTATCGATGCGCAACGCCCTTCGGAGGCTGCGCCTCCGCGCTGCAGCGCGCGCGGTTTACCGGTTGTTGTCGTTGTTGTTGAGGACGCACGCGCACGCCGTTGAGCAGCGGCCATCAGTCGGCGAGATTTGCCAGCTGTCGTTGTGGAGGAGCGGCTATGGCGATGGCTGCAACAACGACGACGCGGCTGTCGTTCTCGGGGACTAGCGATGGCGCGTCCCGGTCGGTATGGGCGACGGAGGGTCGGGATGCTCCGTTGGGAGGGGGGCTTAGCAGACCGGTCGCGATCGGGCTAGGCGTCCGGGGGGACCTGCGTTGTCGTCACGGGCGCGGACTCGCTGGCGTCGTCGTGCGACGTCGTGAAGGTGATGATGAGGTGGTGGTCCCCCACCACGCCGCTGCCGGTGCTCGACTGTCGGTCGGAGGACGAGGAGAAGGAAGGCGGCGACCGGCCGCCGCCGCGATCGCGGCGCTGTCTTGGGTCGCAACCGCGGCGGCTGACGAACTTTCCTTGAACTATCTCCAACTTCGCCGATCGGACATAGCCGCCGCACATATCCGACGGAGATGCCGCCGCCACGTGGCGTCGTCGTCGTCGTCGTCATCGTCAAATTCGACGGTGGTGATGGGCTCCTCCTCCCCCTCCTCTAGCGGAGTAGATAACCAGTCGGGACCGCGATCACTTGAGACCGTACCCGATACGGACTTCACTATTACCAAGGTCTCCTTCGGTACGATCGGTTTAGTCGTTGGTGTGTCCTTTCTGAGCTTCGGCTTTGGCGCCTACTTCACCCTTCTCCCAGGATCTGAGTGGTCAGCCCTCTTGCTTACCTACGGCTTTCCGTTGACCTTGATTGGATTTGCACTTAAGTACGCGGAGCTGAAGCCTGTGCCGTGTATATCATATGCCGATGCTTACGCGCTAAGGCAAACCCAAGCCACACCCACTTTAACCCAGGTCAGGGAGGACGTCACCAGGTACAGATACGGAGACGAGAAGCACCTCGACGAAGCCTTGAAGAGAATATTTCGATATGGACAGGCTGGCGGCATTCAGCGGCGCTTTGCGCCTACTTTAACTGCTGTTAGAGAAGAAGTTCTGGATGGTAAATATTACACTCTGGTCTTGATCTTCGATGCACCATCGCTGAACCTGGACGACTTTGAGTCGCGGAAACAGAAATTCTCGTCATTTTTCGGACCGGGAGTGACGGCACAGATGCTTCAAGCAGGCGATACCGTGTATGAAGTGAAGCTCGTCGCAGACGGCGATGGCGGAAAACCTGCTGGTTAACTTAAGGGAGAAGGAAGGGAAACAAAAAAAAAAAAAAAAAAAAGGAAACGGTTATTATCAAGTACTATGTCTGAAGAGAGAGAGCAGAGGGGGGGAGAAGAGAGAGCCCAGGTGGAGATGGAGATGGGAGGGACAGATACAGTAATAACCTGCAATCTCTACTACCTCTGGGCAGATTTTCCCTGCAATGCAACAGTACCCTCATTACTACTCTATTT